CCCCAAAACCCCAAAACCCCAAAACCCCAAAACCCCAAAACCCCTTAAAAATCAACTAAATTGAATAATGCTGGTATTATCTCCTCATCATTGTGGGAAGGCATGAACGAATATTCCTAAGGTTCGTAACTACACTTGGGGTAGGCCTTGACTTAACAAATGTATTAGGCTTCCACGGAGGTCTCTCATCATCTTTCTTCACCTTCTTCTGTGTAGGTTTACCATAATTTGGATCCTCAAGAGCTTTCTTATCATCTAAGTATTCTGGAAATGGCTGTATAGTTTTATCAGTAGCCCCTTTCTTCCCAGGGTTACTTGGCTTAAAAGGTCCTGGATGCTCAACTTGAGGCTTCGCTTTTCTTGGTGGTTTCTTCTTTGGAAATTTGAGTCCCTCTTCTCCATAAGTCTGCTCAATATTATTAAAGGTTTCCACAGGCTTGATTCTCTGACTGAATGGTTTTTCTTGCATCTTTTTCTTACTTTCCTTTAACTCTTCAGATGCAAGCTCCTTTCTCCTATCATATTCATCCTTCATATGAGGATAGTACTCTTTCTCGAAGAGTACTCCTGGAGTAGTTGCTGGATTTCCTATTTAAATTAACAAAACAGAAATGCTTTCAGCTTACCTTGCTTAGCACCAGTAGTTGTAAAGTTTCTGGGAGCAAGTATGACTGCTCCATCGGCATCTCTATGATTTTTCTTGACATGCTCATCAGCTTGCATGTGTTCATAAGCTGACTTTACTGGTTCAGGTATTTGTTTTGCAGGTTTAAAAGCATGATCGCTTACTACTTTATAGCCATCCTTTTTAGGCTCCCTCATTGTAAGCTTTTTATCTGAGTAAGGATCTCCAGACGTAATATATCCTGGTTCAGAGAATAGAACTTGGTCTATATTCCCTTTCTTCACCTTAGTAGTTAAGAAGTTCGGAGGCTCTGTGACTACTCTTCCATCTTCATCCTTGTGAGCAAGTTTGGGTGGGGCATAAGTATTTTCACCGAGAGCAAGCGAGCCAGGCTGTGAGAAGAGTCCAAACCTCTCTTTGTTTACAAAGTCATATGACTCCTCCATGAATTTGGTGCTCTTGATGAACTTCTCTGCTTCTTTCTCTAATACTTCTTGGGCCATATTCTAGAAATTTAAATTTAATTTTCTTAAGAATTTAAATGGGGTTTTGGGGTTTTGGGGTTTTGGGGTTTTGGGG